AAGATTAGAGAGCCAGAATCACCCCGTCAAACTTCTTCTTGAATCCAATTTTCTGAAATTTCGAATTTGCTTTTACAACTTTCCTCAATCCATTTTCTTTGTCAATTCACCATCCTTGAACCTCACTGAAGCTAACAGAAGAAGAACCAAGCTCTAAGACTTCATAAATCGTGCTAGCCAAGTCTTGAAGAGACGAAGCGAATGGTACCGGTCTCGAGCTCTAGTTTTACCATTTCAGGGACCTGCAAATCTCGTGGCTGGAGGTTGAAGATGACCAACGTGTCATCTCTCAACCAATGATAGTGTGCCGCGTTTTTTTTTCAAATTTGATTTAATTAATGATTATGTGTTTTATTCACTAAAGACCATGATATGCACAGCGCGTATGATCTATTGGATTAGCTTACTAATGTGTTTTTACTCTCATCCATTGGTCCACTTTTTTTTACCTTATTTTATTTTCTGATTTTTTTTTATATTTTATTTGTTTTAAACTTCAAAAAATCATATAAAATCCATTTTAACTTCAAAAAATCTGAAAAAATTATGAAAAATACTTTTGATTTTTCTTTTTCTGATTATTATTTTTTAACAATTTTATTTTATGTTTTGGTATTTTTTATAATTTTTCACTTTATTTGAATTGTTTTTAATGTTTAAAAATACTTTTCTTAATTTTTAAATTCTGGAAAAAAAATATGGAAGGATCCAATGACCTCTTGACAAATATTAGTAACCTCATTTTATTTTTATTTCTGACTTTACTATTTTTCACAATTTTTTGTTTATTTTTCCTATTTCTTTTAATTTTAAAAATAGTTTCTGACTTTAAAAAATTACCAAAAATTTTATATAAATATTTGAGCTCATTTCTGATTTTTCTATGGTCTTATTTGATTTTTCTTGGATGTTTTGAATATATTTTTTATTTTCTACTTTTATTTCCATTTTTAAACCATTTTTAAAAATATTTTTCTTTATTTTTTAAATATATTTTATCTTGTATACATTCTGGTTGATCTTGGACTATGAGATTTTGATCATGATCTTTATTAATATCATTAGATCCATGGTGTTGAGTTTAACTCCACAAAAATGGATGAATGATTTTAATAATAGCTTGATTAAATTTTTGGTTCAAATGTGGTTTAATTCTTATTCCATTCCTCTTCATCGTATCCCCTTCTTATTGTACTAAATATTATTGGAGAATAATTTACATATCATTTCTCAAAACAAATAGTACATAAATTGTTATTGGCTGGCCTCAAAATAGGTGTGACTTCTATATAAGTCCACTTACGGTTGCTTAACATAACGCTAAATTTTTTCCCGATTCGAGAAATGATCATTTGTGGCCCAAACCCATGTTTGTAAGCCCAAGTATGTTAATTTAAATCCTTTGATCCAATAACCTTGAGATTCATTGTTAGGAAGAGAAATTTCATAAGCTTTGGTCAAAGTGAATCACTTAAACATCGTTGATCATTTATTGTTGCCTTGAGAATTTTAAATTGATGATATACTTGACAAAAAGTAAATGAAACTTGTTGTTGAGAGGCTTTGATAAATCTTCTAATGAGTTTCAAATGTAAGTTTCAAGATGGTCATTCAACTAACCTCTAATTCCTAACAATTGACTTTAATTTGTGCTTTTACTTTATGCTCTTTACTTTAAGCACATTTATTTTAGCATTTATATTTCATACTATTTTCATCTTTGCTCGTTTGAGCATTTACTTTTATGTCATTTTTATTTTTCTCACTTGAGCTTTTCATTTCTTTTTGAAGATACTTAATAATCAACTTGAACCATAAAAAACTTTAATGTTACTTGAACTACTTGGTTACTATCCTTGACATTATGGAGTAATGATCTTCTTGGTCTTAGGATTAGAAGCCTAGATCTGCCTTGAGACCTTCTGATCTCAACTGTTATTTTATCTGGAATTCTTGGGTTTATTCCAAGTCATTGGGTTGTTTGTTTGCTTTGTGTGCGGGCTATTGTGATTACATGTTTTGTCTGTGATCTGAAACTCATCTGTATACAATCGTTACTCTACCAAATTTTTGTGAAGACTTAATGCAATTGAAGCTTGGTTTTCTTAAGAGGTTTATTATCTTTGCTTGTTTGGTTTCAAATTCAAAGGATGGGAATTCTATATTGACTCATTGTGTCAAGTGTTAGCTTCTTGTTGGTTAGACGGTTCTTTTCCCTAGCTTTTAGCTTATGCTTTAGGATAGTCCCTTCATCTCCTCTCTTCTTCTTTAATTTCAAAAAATTTCTCCCTCCTTTTGGAAACTCTTCTTGTTTTTAAACTTGAACCGCTTTCGCAATAAACTTGGACTTATGTCCATGCATTTTCAAAATATTTTCTTAATCATATTTTAATCAACTTAATAATACTTTGACATTTTTTATGAGAAGATTAAAAGTGAATCAATCTCATTCAACCATTTTTCTATTTTGCCTTTTTACCTTAAAATTTTCTCAAAAGATTAGACTATTGTCAATCTTTGTAATGATGCGAACTACTATACTTCTACAATATATAGTGAAGTGAGATATTTTCCACTTGGGTGTTGAGTGGGGCTTTGTTGATTTTTAAAATCCAAGTTACATCCTCCACTTTGAGATGTCGCAAATTCTCCTTTCTCATAATCGTGGATAGTAAGTATGTTCTTCCACTCGGATAAGACGATGATGTCTTGTCTCTTAAAATTAACCAACACACATGTTTTTTTTAATTTTTTAAAAGGTGAACTACGTGTACCCTGATCCTCTATTGCACGGAAGGTGGTACGTAGGCACTAAAAGTTCGCAATCGCGGCAGGTGCAAAAATCATAACAAAATATACTTCTTTTCTCATCCCCACAATCTATTTTTTGTACAAGTTTTATAGCCAAAATACACAGATTTTGAAAGAGATTCTTGCGGAATACCGTAGATGTTTAGGGTACTAATACCTTCCCTTTGCATAACTAACCCCCGAACTTGGATTCTCTCCCTCCCTCTTTTGGGTTATTCGCTCTTTTCTCATTCTTTTGAAAATAATAAAGCGTGGTGACAATTTTTATTTTGATCTGTGCGAATTAAGTCAATCCAATGACTTAATCTCAACATTTCTACCACTACACTGAACCTCTTCTTTGCCAACCGTCCAGCTTGTGGGGAGTAACAAATACTACACATTGATATTTTATTTATTTTAGTTATTAGCTAGTTTATAGGGTTTAGTTTGTTACCGTTACTTGATCAAACTTATATATGAGAATGTGAGAATGTGAGAATGATTAAGAACCATCAGATTTAAAAAGGAAAGGTTGAAATTAAATTGTGATTTTCAATTAAATCACACTCATTAATAAATAAAAAAATCATTAATTAAATTTTAAAAATATTTTTTAATCTCAATAATTAAATATTATAATTTTCTATATTCTCATATTATAACTTACTATATTTTCAACAATTAAATATCTTTTAGAGAATATTATTTTAACTTTCTTTTTCTTCAACAATGGCAATTGAAATTGCCATTTGGATATTCTAAACCTCAATAAAACAAACTTAAGTGAAATTCTTCCTCTTTTCATTTCTCTTGCGCACTCTTTAATATTAAATACTAGATCTCTCACATGAAAACTTCTTTTTTAACTAATTTTTTAATAGATTTGTGGAGTTTTGAACTCTCAAAAAAATAACTCTCTATTAATTTTTACTATTCATCCAAAAAAGATTGTTATGTTCATAAAAATTTTAAAATTCTAAAATTTAAACAAAAGTATTATAGAAATTTCAAAAACACTAGAAATGGTGGAGAAAAGAATTTCACGAAATATATCCAACATTTTCTATCTATAATTAGATTTCAACAATTAAAAGTTACAAATTCAACATATATATTTTCGTTAAACCAATTTAATTGATAATTGTATATAAATATTAAATATAGAGTCGAGAATTTAAACTGATACATTTCACTTGTACTTCTTTTAAAATGAACTCTAACCACTAAATTATTTGACAAAAAAAAAAAAAACTACACCATACATCCGTACCTATAAATTTATACGTTTATAAAAAATTCTTATTAAAAAAATGACCTTCGATTCAAATTCAAATTCTTTAAATATAAAACAATTTTGATCTCTTACTTCTTGAAATTAAAAATTAATAATATTAATTACTAAGAACTGTATAAAATTTATACGGTCAATTCATCACTATCTTCTATTTACACTACTTTATTGATGTTAAAATAAAGTCAAATTTATCTTAAATTATTTTACAAATGACATAAGCTATTTGAATTTGAAATAGAAGAACTAACTTAGTAAATGAAGTTTTGTGAATGAACTAAAATAAAGAGATCAAAATTATAATTAAATTTAATAGATTAGTTGATGAATTAATAAATAAATAATCCAAATTGATACCCTACAAAAATAATACATAAAGCAATCACTCATCAATCAACATTTCCTTACTAGAATATGATTCCAACATTTCAATGTTACAATACAAATAAAGCAGTGAAGCCTAAATCTTGTTCCATCAAAAGTAGAAATAGCTACACAGATAAATCCATACTAGATGATAAATAACATTGGCAAAAAATTTCATTCAACTTCTATAACATAGAATAAAGTTCAATAGTGTGCTACCAACTTTTCAATTTTATTAGACATTACAAAGAGCATCATGGTTTATGAATTTATAATAACAATAATGTCCATAGATCAGTTGAAATGATCTTCATACATTTGAACAATATCTTGTACAAAAGCAATTCCACAATTTCAATATACAAAAAGGTGTTACATACAAAAGAAACTAGAATACATTAAACATACATTGGCCATTGTCAATTCAAACCAATTCATCTTCTACACAACTTCAATCTATCAGGTGTATTGTATTTCTGATCCCGGCACCGCTGATTCTTGCACCGAACTGGACTTTTATGCTATGATTTGCTCTTCTTGCACCGGACTTTTATACTATGATCTGCTCTTCTTTTAAGCGCAAATGTACAGGTCTCTGATCATTGTTTGCGAACTCCATATCTTTAAGCAAAGGATGCTTCTCTGGCACCCTTGCCGTTGGCTTTGATGGCATTGAATTGCTATTAGCTGTGTGGTGGCTACTGTTTCTAGCAGCAGGGACGTCGTGATTATGTTTTCCCTCGTACGTAGTTATGACAGCTTTTGGGTCCGTTGATGCTCTCTCAACGTGTTTGCGCACATTGCATCCTGCACTAGTGCACTTGTAATAACTCCTGTTAAGAAATTCAGCATTAGACTAATTTAAAAAAAGTTGAAAACAAAGTACAGACATATAAGTGCTTGTAGTATAAGTTCTTGACATTTATTTTCATAAGCTATTAGTTGTTTTCATAAAATATGAAAACAGCTAATTTGCCATAAGTTTCTTTAAACTTTCTCAAACAGTCTCGCAAGTGCTTATATCAGTTAATAAGCTCAAATAAGTCAATTTAAACATGTCCAAACTCCAAAGTGAAGTTTGTACATATTAAATGACAATTATAGCTAAAAGTATCACAAGAGAAGACCACTAAGGGAACAAACAAAGCAACGTATCTTATTTGCATCGTATGCCTTTTTGGCAGGGTTGAGGGTGCAAAGAAAGGGGAGAAATCTTGACTATAAGGTCACAGCAATAGCCAAACCACATTCGCAAGGATGTTACAGAATTGGAGAACAAAATTTTGAGACCGAATGTCATGAACAAATGACACGAACATGCCTCAGACACTGACCCGTGCTAAAAAATATGAAAGGCTGATTCATGTAACCAGAATCAGAAGCAATAGTTCAGAATAGAAAATTATCCTGGATAAGAATACTGATAGAGTACAAAACATTTCAAACTCAAAGGAGCATCCAAGTGTGGAATAAAGAGAACTTTTCTTAACATGTCATTAATTCTTGTAATTATATTGACTTGTTAAGAAAAGTTTCATGCAGAAAGCTTGTAAAGAAAAGGTGGTGGGGCGGGCTATCAGGTTAAAATGATGAATTTCTTCCAATTTTTTATTTGCAAGTAGTGAATCTTAACATTCGCATTCATACTTTGGACCTAACTATATTAAGATTCAAAGTTCAAACAACTTGAATTTCAGAGAAATGAGAACCTAAGAAACATTTTAAAACGAAACATTTCTTATGGCTTTTAAAAAGAAACAAAATAGAAGCATAGAAGAATAATTAAAGGGTCACCTAGGATGAGGATTTCCCTTCACCACTTTCTGACCATACTTTCTCCACCTGTAGCCGTCGTCTAAAAGATCAACTTCACTTCTTGTTTGCACAATGATTTTGGGTTCTGTGACAGTCTTCTGAGATGCAGGTGCTTCCGGAACAACAGGCTCAATGCTCCTGAAAGACAGATTTGGCATACATCATAAAGAATTATAAATAACCGTAACTGAGTTTGATTCCTTGAGTTTCCCGTTTGCAACGCAGCCCAACCCCGTGTGAAACAAATAGGATGTCTCTCTGCCGATTTAGTCCCAAAGAGCCTAAGCCATGGGGTGTGTACCGGGGGTCAAAAATTAAATAACTGTAACTGAATGACGAAGAATTAACATAGAAAAACCTGCCTTCTCTTTGGGTTTGGCCCCGAGTCACCTCCCTCTTCCTTATTGTCTGCATCATCCACTTCCACAATTTCAGTTGATCTCGGTAGTGGTCTAGAATCCCCTTGATTAGAGATCAGGTCACTTTCAGGCACCGAACAATCAGGCAAACTTTCGCTAGTTTTGTTTGAATTTCCAAACCAACCTTGTGAGTTTGAGTTATGTTGAACGTTTGCATTTCCATTCACATCACTATTTTCTTTGATGCGCCTATTTACCTGAGGCTTCTCATGATTATGCTGGCCTTTATAGATAATTTCAGTTATATGACCGTCAGGGGCACGCTCAACTTTTTTCTTGACGGGACAATTCAGATGTGTGCATTTATAGTAGCTCCGCGGATACTCACTCCCCTTAACCTGCTTCTGTCCATACTTGCGCCAGTTGTAGCCATCATCTGCAGGTTTGTCAATCGGTAGGGAAGGTGGTTGATATTTCTTATCAGAGTCTGTAATCTCCGACGTTTCCATTTGAGCATTTCTAGATTCTGATACAGGTGCTGCCACTTGCTGCTCCGAAGATTCATTTCGAGTAAAAGACTGCTGCTCTACCAGTTGGTCGGTGGGAGGATCAAATGAGACCAGTTGATATTCAGGTTGCATGTGCATATTATGAGATTGTGCAAGGACAGCTTGAGCTGTAACCTGTGCTAAAGCCTGTTGGTGTGACATCCCAAAGGGGCTCTGTATACAATAAATTGAAGAGATAGTGAAAACCTCCCATAGCACGAGTATATAATAAGTATTCAAGCGATTGGGGAAAGCTCGCTCAAGCCACTTAAATACTCCATCGAGTATCCGATGCTACTCAACATGCGCATAATACACAAGCACATAGTATTTCTAAATTCAAAATGGCGTCATGACTCGTAAAAGCACAAGTAGAATGCTATGGCACAATCAATCCTTCTTAAGAGACAAGTAAATTCAGTCTTTGAGATTCTTAGCAATGTAAACACATAAAAGCTCTTCACTATAGAGTGTCTTGCAATTGCAAAAGACGTATATTCTAAACACAAATTTCATTGTTACTAAACCACCCCATCAAAACTACCACAACAGAAAATCACTATAAAGCAACCAAAACACATTTCACTTCACTCTAAATCATATATATAATAGACAATCACACAAATTATATAAAAATGAGATCCAAACACCTAGAAACACATACACCAGAAACGCGACACTTATATTCTATATATATAACAGACAATCATATAAAAATGAGATCCAAACACCTAGAAGCACATACACCAGAAACGCGACACTTGTATTCTATATATATAACAGACAATCACACAAATTAGATAAAAATGAGATCCAAACACCTAGAAGCACATACACCACAAACGCAACACTTATATTCTAAATACAAATTTCAGCTGCAAATTTTATCTTCATTTTTCATTGTTACTAAACCACCCCATCAAAACTATGACAAAAGAAACTCACTATAAAGCAACCAAAACACATTTCACTTTACTCTAAATCATATACTCCAAACACCTATGAAGCACGGACACCAAAAACACAACAACAACACTAACACGTCGACACCCCCTAACTAATTGAAAAAATGAACAAATTAAATGTAATCACAAGTGTCAGTTTTGGTTTCAGACACCAAACACTCTAACTTCATCAATTCCTTAAAAAACACCAAACTAAAGAGGAGTAGAGCATCAATCCCCTTATACACAACACAACAACAACAACAAAATACAATTATACTAAATCTAAAACGCAACAACATAACAAAATTTATATCAAATTTCAATGATTGAGTATTACAACTAACTTCATACAAAAACTAACACAAATTCCACACTTTCCAAATTCCAATTTCCCATTTCAATCACAAAAACAAATCAAATCTGACTTTTCCAAAACAATCCAAAAATCAAAATCCCTCTTCAAAAATTGATGAATTAGGTTAATCACCTGTGGAGAAAAGAATCCAGGCGAGTTCAAAAACCCAGACGGACTCAAACCAGGAGGAATAGTAAACACCGGCGACCGCGCAACAATCAGGTTCATCGGTCGACTCTGCTTAAACCCTGTACTTCTGTGGGACACGGAGAACTCATCTTCTTTAACAAAGTAATTCTCCGCCGCGGCGGAAGAGTACGCGAGCGGAGACGCCATAGCTCCGGCGAGAAGCTGAGAGAAAGTGGCGGATTCAGTAGCGAAGAAGCTTGAAACCAGTGTCATGGGACCGGGACTGGCGGCGCCGGCGAAGAAAGCTTCGACGGAGGGACGGGGAGGGAGGGTGATGGTGGGACGAGATGGCGGTGACGCCGTGTCGGTGTCGGAGGGATTGGCGGTGGACATATTTATTTTGCGGCGGTTGGTGGTTGGTGTGGAAATAAAGAGAAAAAGAAAAATGAAGAAAATGAGAAGAAAATAGAAATGATGATGAGATTTTTTTAGTTTCGTGTGTGGGTTTGTGTAATCACTCTACCATAAACAAAACTAGGAATAATAATTAATACTAAATATACCTTTTTTGACACAATTAAAACTAAAATAGAAAACGAAAATATATGTTTTTTATATTATTACAATTAAAACATCGTTTCCAAGCTGGTTGCGTTGTATCTGAAGACTCATGATAGTTTCTTATTTTGAAGAGTCATCACAGTTTCTTATATTATTACACAATTATGATTTCAGTTTACATTTTTTAATGTTGTCAAATAAGTTTGATACACTAAATTTGGCCGAATTAGATGAACTTTTATTGAATTTCATAAAAACGATTTTACTGTTACATGACAACATTAGTTCCACGTTTTATGAATTATCGACCGGCTTCGTGCGACAGCACGGGTTATCGACTAGTTTTAAATAAAAACAAAATCCTCTTCGTTAATGTTCGACAGTTTTCACATTTTCATTCCCCAACTTTTATTACAAAGATATTCTCATCTTTTTTATATTCAGATTTTGAAAAGACTTGACTCTTTTTTTCCTTCACTACAAGACTTTTTCTGACATCAGTTTTATTTCTAGAAATTATTATTATTATTCATTTATAATTTTTATTTTTTATTTTCTATATATTTTATTATATGATTATCCAAATTTGTTAGTTTTTGCAAGTTGCATTGAGCTTAACCAATTAGAAAGAGAGAGCAGTTGAGAAAATGGCGTGAGCAGACCGGCATTTAAAGCAAGTAAAGGGAGGACCGCTCAATCTTAAATCTCTAAAATCCATGAAATATCTTTCTTCTTATGGTAACATTTTTTTGTTTCTTTCTAAATTAGATTTGTTTCCTTGTAGATTAACTCCTTAAACCACATTAAGCATTTGTTTGAATTACTTTTTAGTTTTTAATAGGGTGGTTATATTCAAACCAATCTAAATAAAAAATATAAAGTTATTTAAAAAAATCGAAATTTATTAGATGTGTTTATATGTCATTTTATGAAAACTGTACGATTTAGATCGAATTTCGAATTGATTTTTTAAAATCAAACCAAATTGCATGTACATATTTTTGTATTTATTTATTTTTTATTATATGATATGTTACATTAATTTATTATTAGATGATAAAGAAGTAAAATGAATACAAGAATAAGAAATAAAATGAATTATAGTTTAGACAATATCTCATATTTCACGTGGGATGTCTTATATATGAGGGGTAGTAATGGATGTCATTGGCATGGATCTAATGTGGAGTTCCAAAGAAGGGTTATAATCTATCTTCAATGTCTTTGTGATGTGACTTTTCACTATTGATTGGGTCTTCCCCCTTTTAGGCTTATGATCCGTTCAAAACAGTTGCCTCAAGACTTAGGGTGGTGTAACAATGGGATATCTTCTAAAAATCTGGGTTGGGCCTATTGTGTTGGGCTCATTGGTTGGAGAAGTGGGAAAGATTTGAGAGTTTGTATGAGTGATCTTGGAAACAAGCATATTAGATACTAGTCTTATCATTGAAACGTGTGGGAAGATTCTTCTTACACCTAGCCATAGTTCCTTAGACTAGGATGTGTTGTTACAATCTCAAAAAAAATTCAATTGATGTTTTTCATCTATCCATTTCCTTTTATTTAGGACCATTAATTTACTTAACTTAAATCAAACATAAAGGTTACTTCACCTTCCTAACTATGTGTCCACTCTTTGCGTAAACTATATATTTTCTTCGTCTACGAAGTTTGATTGCTTTTCCTCTGATTCATGTTTTATCTATCTTTTTCCTTCTTTGGATTTGGCTTCCTATCAATCTATCACACCCTTAAAATCGCTCTTCGTCTTAACTATTTTCTCAACCTTCAGCTCTTTCAAGTGATATTTTTTTCATTTGTTTATAATTTGTTATTTTTCCATTCCTTGCTTTAGGCATGGGCAATATGTGAGATAATATTGTGAATGTTATAAACATATCTAGTGGTGACGATGCGAGTGACGCTTCATTTCACGCTAAAATAGTTGACTCAAATATTCAAAACGTAATGTTTTCAATGATTAATCGGCCCATTGTGAATCTCAATATCCTTAATGATAGTTCTGGTTTTGGTGGGGGTTCTATTGAAGATGGAAGTGAATCCACTACAACGAATAACACTTTTATGACGAAACTTTCATCTCTAACATGCTAAAAACCGAGAGGATATGTCTTGGGAGTGCAATGTTTTATTATTTAATAAGATAAATAACATGTTACGTCGGTGTTATGTAAAACCGAGGTAACACAGCTAATAAGTAATAAATTTGTTATCTCGTTTTTCTTGAGAACCGAGGTAATATAGCTATAAGGAGCCTCAGTTTGAATCTTCGTTTCCGCATTTAAAACTTTTTTCAACGATTTATCACTTGGCGTATTTTCCAACATGCTAAAAACTTTCTCATCAATAAACAAGAATAGGCAATAATAGAAGAAAAAAAGTAACATTTTATTGATAATAACAAAAAACACAACAAAGAAAACTATTCAACAAATTCAAACTTCTCAGTCACTCAACTTCAATTGTACCCCTAACTATCCTTAACTTATAGAAAAGTTCAGAAAGAACTCTTCCATAAGGTATGAGGAAAGTCATTTCCTCCTGAGAAGTCTTTATCAGTTCCTTCAAGAATTTGAAAATGGTAAGATGGAGATTAACTCTGATGTTATAGGTGAGGAATAATAAGAGATGCTTGTCATACCAAGTAAGCGTTTCCAGATCTTTCTCTCTTGGGGGGAGATTTGTCACTAGAAGTTAAAACCAAAAATTTTCAATTGGGGTTAGAGAAGTAGGACTGGAGAGCTTATTTTGGTTGGCATAAATTTGGTGAAGTTGGGTTTAGAAGACAATGTTGAATTCATAGTGTTCAACACAACTAGTCAACTACATGTCTCTTGACAGTTGATTGTCATTGCAATCAGTGATGGAGTAATGAAGAAATGAGAGTCATTGACATATGACTGGATGGCTTCATCATGACCAGCTGGCACAACAGAGGCATTTATCCAAAACCCTTTAACGAGATTAGTGTATATAGGGCCGTTAAGAATGTGTTTCCAGTGATTTCTGGTAAACAACCGCTAGTCTTCCAAACTATCGAATAAACTTACTGACTGTTATTCAATTTCTCTGGTAACTCGCAGGATCGACTAGATTGATCCTAGGACTTATTGGTCATTAGGGTAACTCTCACGATCGAACAGATATTCATGGTTGGTATTTAGAGTGTTGTGTAGGTGTTTGACTTATTTCGATTTCTCTCTTAAAGATCTAAAGGTGTAATCAAAATATATGTGTGTGAAACTAAATTGCATGAATAAATGTTAATTGTAAAGACATGTAAAATTGCATAAAAGGCGAGTAAATGGCTTCAAATTATAAAAACAGTTAATGTAAACGATGCTCTGGAATGTGAAAGATTCGGAATATGAAGAAAGCGTTTAATGCAAGAAATCTGTAAAATGACTTTAAGTAAAAATAGGCTTTCGAAAGACAAAACTTGAAGATAAAGGCATGAAAAGTATGACAGTTTTCTGAAATGTAAAGTGTTTAAAATATAAAGAAAGCATTAAAATGTAAGGCTTCAATGAAAAGATTTCGAATAAAAAGACTTTAAATGAGAAAACTTGTAAATGGTATTTGGCAGAAAGATAAAGGAAAGTACTGGAAATGATAAAAGGTTTTCATTAAATCATAAACATGTGGTGCTATCATACGTACATTGATATTGCATTCGTTTCCCTAGCCATGTGGTAATTTGAATGTTTACTGAGTATTTAGTACAATAGATATGACACCCGAAATCCTAATACTAAGACTTCTATTTATACTACTTCGACCATAACGGTCTTGCTATAAGATTACGCCACGTTCAGAACATGCAGAACAATGCCTCTCTCTTGTTTCCACGTGTCTCCAAATGCTCCAGCACATAAATTTCAAACTTCGAATGTCCCGCTTGCATTTGAATTTCAAATGTTTTGGTACTTCTCCGTTTCGAACGCACTTCTCAGACACAACCTTGTTGTCGTTTCGAGACTTCTTTAGATATGTTCCCATAATTGCCACTCGAAGCTCCAAGCTTTGATATGCTCATTCGAAACACTGCTTCTGCTATTTCGAAACATGACGCTTTGTTTTATTTTGATCAAAACGTTCAATTCACTTGGCTTCTAATAATATTATCAAAATCTTCAGCCAACAAAATGCCCCTTTAAAATATGTATTTCGATCTCTTTGAGAAATACTTATTTTAAACATCTACACAAGATTTTGATGCGACCTTCGAATCATCGTAACATTTAATGCATTTGACTCCAGTCACGTCAATCATAACACTTTTTGGATTCCTTAACCGCCTGGAGCCACTTCACAGTATGGTGCAGTTACAAAACAATGATTATCTTCAATCACGCCTATTACCCATGTTAACTTTTACGCCACCTCTTCATCAAACCAACCCATGATTTCCACGTATCACAACCTTATTCAGTGGATGCTTAAACTTCCACATTATAAAACATCATCAACTTAGTCTTTTTCTTTTCTTTCCACATTCTGAATCTTTTATCCTTCTTCTCTCGCCAAAAACCCTAAGCTTTCAATATTCTTCAAAAATGTCTTCTTCTACTTCATCCCAACTCAAAAAGGTTTCCAAGAAGAAAGGAAAGACCGCAGGAACTACAATGGAAAGTAAGGTTATCACTCACCAAGGTCAATCCGTTCTTGCTCCCCAGATGATCTCAAAGGAAAAAGAAATGCTTTATGCATCACAGGTACTCATTCCTACCACCGCTGCTGGTAAGAGGTTAGCTTTAATGGGCCCTCTTACGGTTTTTGAAATTTTAAAAGATACCAGGATAATTTTCCCA